ACACACACACACACATATATATATATTACTAGTTTGTAATGATATTCACGAGACAAAGGTCATGACACTTTCAATCATATATAATAAATATCTGTTGACAAATCAGAAATTTTATTATACTATAACAATTAAACATATTAGGTAATTCTTGTATTTCAACCATACTTTACAACAAACAATTTTACATTCACTAGTCAGCAAGATTAATCAGAGCCCGACATATAGTAATATAGAAAATATAGCTTAGAATATTTTTCATTATGATCGATTCAGTTCTACTTATTACTTTCAATATTCATGATATCTACTTAGACTTAAAAGTAAATCAACTTTAAAGACGTGAAATGAATGAGATTTACAATTTCATTATACGATCTATCGAATTATATTTGTATGTATTTGATTGATAACAGTGATATTTGTTTCTAGGTAGTGTTGACAAACTCGGTCACAAGTTCAGACATATCCTAATCAGTCTACAAGAAATATTATAATTATTAATTTAAATATTAACAAGCTTCCGATCACATGTTACAATTGTTCATCAACTTCAAAACAGAAGTATATTTTCAAACAATGTTTCGGAAACTTGTATTACCTTTCCACTTAAAATTATACTAATCGACATCTATAAATTAGTGTTACTATATATATATATATCATACGAAATATATTAGTTCTTATATTCAAACATTTTATGACAATAGAACAGGTTGATTCTTAAATTCAGGTCATTGACAGCCACATAACTAATGACCGAAGGTGAATCCTGAGATGACCAACTCTATTTCTCAATATAATAGAAGCATTCAAATCTGGGTCACTGATATAAATATACACTGTAGTCATATCGGTCTACAATCACTTTGAATTCCACATTCATGCGATTACTATATCTTATAATTCAACAAGTGATAACCATGGACAACTCAACAGATGTATGATTTTTGAACTTAAACGAAACAAATATTGTTACAGATACTTCGAATATATTTCTGAACTGATGAAGGGACTAGTAAAATACACACTTCCCGTTACTAAGGAACTAGTAACATGCACAATTCCCGTGATAAAGAAACTAGTAACATGCAGACTTCCCATAATGATGGGATTAGTAACATGCTGATTTCCTGTGATGAAGGAACTAGCAACATGTAGACTTCCTGTGATGAAGGAACTAGTAACATTCAGAATTATGGTGATGAAGGGACTAGTAACATGCTGATTTCCTGTGATGAAGGGACTAGTAGCATGCAGGCTTCCTCCAATGAAGGGACTATTAACAAGCAGACTTCCTGTAATGAAGGAACTAGTAAAATGCAAATTTCCGTGATGAAGGGATTAGAAACATGCACTTACCTTGAGAAAGGAACTACTAACATTGAGAATTCCTGTGACGAAGGGACTAGTAACATGCAGACATCTTGTGATGAAGGAACTAGTAACATGTAGACTTCCTGTGACGAAGAAACTAGCAACATGCAGACATCTTGTGATGAAGGAACTAGTAACATACAAACTTCCTGTGATGAAGGATATAGTAAAATGCAGGCTTCCTGTGATGAATGGACCAGTAACATGCAGAACTCTGATGATGAAGAGAGTAATAGCACGCAGACTTACTATGATGAAAAAGTAGTAACATGCATACTTCCTCTTATGAAGGGACTGGTAACATTCAGAAATCCTGTGATAAAGGCACTAGTAACATGCAGAGTTCATGTGATGAAAAGACTAGTAACATACAGACTCCCTGTGATAAAGAGACTAGTAACATGCAGACTTCCTGGGTTGAAGGAACTAGTAACATGTAGACTTCCTGCTATGAAGGAACTAGCAACATGCAGACTTCCCGTAATGAAGGGACTAGTAACATGGAGACTTCCTGTAACGAAAGGACTAGTAACATGCAGACTTAATATGATAAAGAAACTATTAACATGAAGACTTCCCGTAATGAAGGGACTAGTAACGTGCAGACTTCCCGAGATGAATGGACTAGTAACATCCAGACTTGCTGTGATAAAGTAAATAGTAACATGCTGACTTCCTCTCATAAAGGAACTACTACCATTCAGAAATCCTGTGATGAAGGCATTAGTAACATGCAGACTTTCTCTGATGAAGGAACTAGTAACATTCAAACATCTTGTGGTGAAAGAATTAGTAAAATGCAGACTTCCTATGATCGAGGAACTAGTAACATGCAGACTTCCCGTGATGAATGAACCAGTAACATGCAGACTCCTTGTGATGAAAGAAATAGCAACATGCAGATGACTTCCCGTACTGAATGGACTAATAACATACAGACTTCCCGTGATGAATGGACTAGTAACATACAGACTTCCTGTGATGAAGGAAATAGTAAAATACAGAATTCCTGTGATGAAGGGACTAGTAACATGCAGAACTCCCGTGGTGAAGGGACTAATAGCATGCAGACTTACTATGATGAAGAAAGTAGTAACATGCAGACTTCCCGTGATGAAAGGATTGGTAACATACAGACTTTCTGTGATGAACGAAGTAGTAGCTTTGAGAATTCCTGTGATGAAGGGATCAGTAACATAAAGACTTTCTGTGATGAACGAAGTAGTAACTTTGAGAATTCCAGTGATGAAGGGATCAGTAACATACAGACTTCCCTTGATGAAGGGATTAGTACGATGCAGACTTCCTATGATGAAGGAACTAGTAACATACAGACTTCCTGTGATGAAGCAAATAGTAAAATGCAGAAGTCTTGTGATGAAGGGACTAGTAACATGCAGAATTCCCATGATGAATGGATTAGTAACATGCAGACTTCCTATGATGAAGGAACTAGTAACATTCAGAAATCCTGTGATAAAAGGACTAGTAACATGAACACTTCCTCTGTTGATGGAAATAGTAACATTCAGAAATCCTATGATGAAAGGGCTAGTAACATGCATACATCCTCTAATTAAGGGACTATTAACATGCAGACTTCCTGTGATGAAAGCACTAGTAACTTGCAGACTTACTGTGATGAAGTAAATAGTAATATGGAGACTTCCTCTGATGAATCAACTGGTAACATTCAGACTCCCTGTGATGAAGAGACTAGTAACATGCAGACTTCCTGTGATGAAGCGACTAGTAACACGCAGACTTCCCGTGATGAAGGGATTAGTAACATACAGACTTGCCGTGATGAAGGGACTAGTAACATGCAGACTCCCTGTGATGAAGGGACTTGTAACATGGAGACATCTAGTGGTGAAGGAACTAGTAACATGCAGACTTCCTGTGATGAAGGAACTAGCAACATGGAGACTTCCTCTGATGAATGAACTGGTAACATTCAGAAATCCTGTGATGAAGGCACTAGTAACATGCAGAGTTCCTGTGATGAAAGGACTAGTAACATACAGACTCCCTGTGATGAAGAGACTAGTAACATGCAGACTTCCTGTGATGAAGCGACTAGTAACACGCAGACTTCCTGTGATGAAGGGATTAGTAACATACAGACATCCCGTGATGAAGGAATTAGCAACATTCAGACTTCCTGTGATGAATGGACTAGTAATATACAGACTTCCTGTGATGAATGAAGTAGTAACTTTAGGAATTCCTCTGATGAAGGGATTAGTAACATACAGGCTTCCATTGATGAAGGGACTAGTAACATGCAGATTTGCCATGATGAACAGAGTAGTAACATGCAGATTTCCCTTGATGAATGGACTAGTAATATTCAGATTTCCCTTGATGAATGGACTAGTAACATGCAGACTTGCTATGATGAAGGAACTAGTAATATGCAGATTTTCCTTGATGAAGGGACTAGTAATATTCAGATTTCCCTTGATGAATGGATTAGTAACATGCAGACTTGCTATGATGAAGGAACTAGTAATATGCAGATTTTCCCTGATGAAGGGACTAGTAATATTCAGATTTCCCTTGATGAAGCGACTAGTAATATGCAGACTTCCGTGATGAAGGGACTAGTAACATGCAGACTTCCCGCGATGAAGGACTAGTATCATGCACAATTCCCATGATGAAGGGATAAGTAATATGCAGACTTCCCTTTATGAAGGGACTAGTAACATGCAGAATTCCCAAGATGAAGGGATTAGTAACATGCAGAATTCCCATGATGAAGGGATTAGTAATATGCAGACTTCCCTTTGTGAAAGGATTAATAATATGCAGACTTCCCTTTATGAAGGGGCTAGTAACATGTAGAATTCCTATGATGAAGGAACTAGTAACATGCAGATTTCCCTTGATGTAGGGACTATTAGCATGCAGGCTTACCATGATGAAGCGAATAGTAACACGAGAACTTCCTGACATGTTAAGTGTATATCTAATGAAGAAGTTTTCATTTCTTGTACGAAGCTAAATATTTTCATATCTGAATAGTGCAAGTTGATTTAATTTCCTTTACAAAATTATATTGATTAAAACTTTTATACTCATTGTTTCTGTCTTCTACAGGTACAGGTATTTCTTAAACGTCCCCGCAAAGAAAACGAAGAATTTATTGTTAGGAGAACAAAAAATAAGAAAGTTAAAAGTACAGTGCAACTGGAACAACATATCATTTAATCGAAAATTAAGCGGTCAGCCACTTAGAAACATTAAGAACACACTCAATAAGTATATGCAGAACATACTGGACGATACAATAAGTCATTTAAATAACAAGAGATGAAGTTAGGGTTTGCCTTTATTGGATATCATCTAGACAAAGCAATAAGTACTTGTTTACAGAATAATGACCTATTTTTCAGACATAATTTTAATCAACGTCAATAAAGGCAATCAGAGTAAAACGGACATATATTTAGAGAAGTAATTCAAAACTGAGGTCACTACGTATTATTTAATACATTTTTGTAAACGATATGAAAGTCAGACCTCGAGCTTTTCAGTCTCTTCATCTGTTCAGGGCTAGGGATGGAAGTATATTCCACCCATAATTCGTTTAGCTCATCACAACTGACGTATAGTGGGACCATATCTAATATTATTAATACTTAAATTAAAAATTATACTATTTCTTGTTAACTGATTAGGTTATGTTTGAACTTGTGACCAAGCTTATCAACACTAACTTGGAACAAATATCACTGTTATCAATCCAATGCATACAAATATAATTCGATGTATTGTATTATGAAATTTTAAATCTCATACATTTCACATCTGTAAAGCCGATGTAGTTTTTAAGTCTAAGTAGATATCATGAATATTAAAAGTAACAAGTAGAATTGAATCGATCATCGTAAGCTATATTTTCTGAATGTTTGTAGATTGACCCTGTCTGAACTTTCCACCGATTGCTATATGTCGAGCACAGATTAATCTTACTGACTAGTGAGAGTGTAAAATTGTTTGTTGTAAAGTATGGTTGAAATACAAGAATTACCTAATATGTTTAATTGTTATAGTATAACAAAATTTCTGATTTGTCAACAAATATTTATTATATATGATTGAAAGTGTCATGACCTTTGTCTCGTGAATATCATTACAAACCAGTAATATATATATATATGTGTGTGTGTGTCATAATGCTTATTGACTTGTACAAAATCATATCAGTGCAGATATAAACGAACTCTTTTCTGCAATAGATGTTGAGAAAGAACTTCTGTCTGAGGAAACAATAGAAGGTCTGAGACATCGTAACGTACTCGCCTAGATGCAAGACCACTGACAGGCTCGATTAACTTCCATTTTAGGAAATACAAAGAGCAAAAGAGGTCGTCACGTGGCCAGTCATCTTTTAAAACTTGTCTGGAATCTGAAAGTTTTTAACATACACACTCCAATTCAACAAGAAGCAAGATTTGTGAAAGGTAAGAATATTAATTTTTTAAACATAGATTCCTTAAATTTTCGTGTAACAAATCAACTCATAAAGCTAAACATGAGATTTAAATAATCGTACTTTTCAAGACGGGTATAGATTAATTATAGAAATTAATTAGAAATAAGTGTTTTACATATTAAAACATCAGGAAATGCAAAAAATATGTCATGCAAATTAATATAGCAACGAAAACTATAATCGGTATGTTATATGTATCTTGTTCGATGTTTATAAAAAAGAAACAATAGGTGTGATTAAAAGTTTTCAGCAGTACTTTAAATGTGTTAGTGACACTATCTACCTATAGATACACGTCTAACAGAGCTAAATATATAAATGAAAAATACAAACGTAAGTTGAGATAAATTGAAATCTGTATACTGTTTTATGGAAGTATGGTAACACCATCCTTCTTTATAATACAAATGAAATATTTTTGTCAAGAATACTAAACCAATACAAAATACAAATAATAAGTTTATGTTTTTAGGATGTAGAATTAAATCTAGACTTTAATGATGTAATCACAAGTTGAGACATCTCTACAATCAGCTCATCATCCTATTGAACTATCCATTTATAGAAAAACCATCCACTTTAGCATCACTATACTTAATAAGACCATTCTCCTATAGAACCTTGGTAACACTGTCCGCCTATTAAAACACCTGTAATACAATTAAATATAGAAATAAAAACTATAAACATAAGCTGAAACAAGTTGAAATATGTATGCAGTCCTATCTGCTTAAAGAAACACCATCCGTCTTTGTAAGATATAGGCAATATATAGTAAAAACTACAAAGTTGATAAGATTAAAATAACTGATTTAATTTTTTACTTATAAAGTGAAACTGTAATTGTAAACACAATGTTATTGAAATTTGATTAAATTATTAATTAAAAGAATTTGATGATTAATATATATTTAATGTCATGTTGAGCTGCTTCACCTTTTGTACTTTACTCGCTAACTATCTGCGTGCTCATTACACCAACACGCCCTCTGGAACCATTTTGTGGCTCTACCAACATGCTCTCTGTTAGCAGACAACTTCTGTCGTCAAGTGACATGGCAGCCTAGTAATCTTACTAAAGTGCCCTCTGTTTCCACTTCGTGGAACTATGACGTCATGGTCTCTACCCCTCCCCTAAGACAGCAGCACCCTCTGCTGCTTATAACGTGGCATTTATAATCCTTCGATGTCGGGATAATTTGCATAATATGTAATAGTTGTGTAACTCTCAATTGCAGGCATCATTTTTCTATTAGGTAACAGTTGCGTAAACCTCTGTGGCGGCATATTACGTAATAGTTATGTAACTCTCAATTGCAGGCATCATTTATCTATTAAGCAACTGTTGCGTAAACTCAGGTGGCGGCATATTATGTAACTCTCAGGCAGCATCATTGGATCTCCATTCACTTCGCGACCCCCACCCTTTAAGGCAGCATCCTTTGGGCATAGCACAGTCCCAATAACTATTCAAGTGGCTCTATACAGAATTAACTGTACAAACGTTTAGACTTAAAAGATGTCTGATGTCAGGTTAACTGTTTCTTCATATTTAAATATTATAAAGATATTGGCTGCATTAAGCTTTTTGTTTTTGTTCATTAAATGTCTTCTATTTACTAATATTTATGACCTTCTTCAGAAACTCTATATTCGAAAAACATCACTTGTATTCTTACCGAGTTGTGGGCAGATTTAAGGTAATACTTCCCTGAGCTTGGTCTCCAAACTTAAGGTATCCATAGAAGCCCATAGCTGTGTACATAATGGTCACGATAACCATACCGAGCGACAGAACCCCCGTGTATCCCCCGTAGTCCTGTGGGGATCTCATATCAGCCTTGATGGGTAGCACCTGTTGTGATACAACATTATAATATGTATAAAACAGATAAATTCGTTAACATATAACTTTTAATTGTCCATTCTACACACTAACTCATCAAGAAAATTTCCGCTTCTTCACAAAGAAGGGCATAACCATAAGTGAAGGAAAAATATTTTTTCAAGCAACCTAGATGAAGATATCAATATAGGAACATATCATGATTGTTAGTTCAGGTAGTGATATGTAAAAACACACAGGCAAGATGTTAAGACCACAACACAGGGATATACCATGACTGTTACTTCAGGTAGTGGAATGTAGAAACAACAGGATAAGATGTTAGGATCCCAACACAGGGGCATAACATGATTGTTAATCCAGGTAGTGGTATGTAGAAACAACAGGATAAGATGTTAGGACCCCATCACAGGGACATGCCAAGACAGTTAGTCCAGGTATTGGGATATAGAAACATCAGGATAAGATGTTAGGACCCCAACACAGGAACATACCATAATTGTTAGTTCAGGTACTGAGATGTAGAAACACCAGGAGAAGATGTTTGGACCCAAACACATGGACATACCATGATTGTTAATTCGGGTAGTAGTATGTAGAAACACCAGGATAAGATGATAGGACCCCAACACAGGGACATAACACGATTGTTAATCCAGGTAGTGGAATGTAGAAACACACAGGCAAGATGTTAAGACTCTAACACAGGGACATGCCATGATAGTTAGTCCAAATAGTGGGATGTAGAAACACATAGGTAAGATGTCAGGATCCCTACACAGGGACATACCATGATTGTTAGTTCAGGTAGTGGGATATAGAAACACCAGGATAAAATGTTAGGACGCCAACACAGAGACATACCATGATAGTTAATTCAGGTAGTGGGATGTAGAAACACCAAGATAAGATGTTAGAACCCGATCACAGGGACATACCATGATTGTTAATCCAGAAAGTGGTATGTAAAAACACAAGGATAAGATGTTAGGACCCCAACACAGGGATATGCTATGATTGTTAATCCAGGTAGTGGATGTAGAAATACCAGGATAAGATCTTTAAAGAAATATTTTGAAAATAATTCGCTACCTAAAAGACTTGTGATGAAGTTATTTGTAGTAAAAACTTAACTTTTTATGATGTACTTAAAGAAACTTCATTAGTTACTTAATACAGCTTCAGAAAAATTTCCATCAGTGATGGGTTCGAGTCCAAGTTTGGTTTGATTTTTCTTAATGGGCAGAGTTTCTCTTATTCTTACATCTTGTTTATTGTTCTTTTCATCAAAAGTTCCGTTGCATTTCTGATATAGATATTTGGAAAATTAACTACCCTAGGCTTCAGATGCGCCTTTATACTGTTGTAGCTATATTATTTTGTTGATGGGCTGTTTTAAGTTATCTGGTGAAAATAATTCAAAGTCGAGTCCAAGTGAATGATAAAAATTATTTTATTTCTTGCTTAAATCTTAGAAACTTTAAAATTGTGGTAACTTTTAGACTATGTTCACAAATTAGATAACTGAACTAAACTGGCGTATAAATAACCTTGTACAAAGTAACCCAACGTGCAAGATAGTTAACACAGAACCTAATACTTCAATAAAGACGAAAACACACTAGCTGAGTCACTCGTCTAGCTAGAAATAATTTTACTGTCTTTCTAACTATCCTGAATTTTTAATCTACAGTTGAATTTACAAGAAGACTTGACGTCAAATCTTTAAGAACTTTCTTGATAGACTAGGCCTATCTGATCTTAACGTCATTATTATGACCCACAGCTCCTCTTGATAACAAACACATTACACATTTGAAATTTACTGTAACTTACAACAACACAACAAGTGGTTGATCCCAAATAGTTGCGACCACATCGAAACAACCAAAATATTCATAAACATCGTACGAACTTTGTTTTATTAATTTTGTATTTAACTTTGAAAACGTAACAGCGCTGAAGTTCATTAGTTATGTATTTTATTTAAAAAGTTCTTAATCCTCAATACTGATTTTAAGGCTATAAACAAAGAAATTCGTGGATAGTTTGATTTCAAGAGTTTTTGATTATATTTCTGAGCACATAAGTGTCTTTACACATAATGTAAAATATTCGGGTCGGCACACCAAAACTCACTTCGAAGGGTGTACACTTCATTTAAAGAACTTTTGAAAATGTTAAGAAGCAATGAGAGATGAAAGACGTTTCAGCAACATATTTTTCGCACTTTCTATTTATTTAGGAAAATATTGATAGTTAATTATATAATGATAAGCTCTACGAAATGAAATATTTATTTATTTATTCATATATTTAACAGACATAAAACTATCAACATGACTTTACGATCCAGTAGATGTTGGTTTATAATACTGTTTTAAGATATTTTATATGTAGTATTTATGATATGCCTATAATCTCTATATGTGAAGAATTTTTTGTACATACGTTTAACTTGTTCCGAATACATATGTATATTATTTTGAAAACAAGTGAAGTGGGTGCTGTTCATTTATCGTTGAATTTCACATCAACAAGTCACAGACACCTACTGTAGAAGAATCCTAAGCCCAACAATAACACAGTATATATTTATACTATTAAGAACTATGAGTAAAATACTTTTTAATTGACAATTGGCAACTATATCAAAACCATAACTATAAAATTTGACACCTATTGCTATTAACCATCACTACTTTCATAAGTGAATATAAAGTATAAAACGTATTCTTAAAACATGATTTTTCATCTCTCATTACTTCATAATATTTTCACCTCCCAGTGGCACATCGGTAAATCTGCGGATTTACAACGCTAGAAACCGTGTTTCAATGCCCGTGGTGGGCAAAGCACAGATATCCCATTGTGTAGCTTTGTGCTTAACTACAAACAAACAAATAAATCATAACATTTTCAAAAGTTCTTTACATGAAGTGTACACCCTTCGAAGTGTGTTTTGATGTGCTGAACCGATTATTTTAGGTTTATGGGTAAAGACACAGAAATAAAATAAAAAACATTTTGAAATCAAACTATTCACAAATTTCCACAAAACTAACGAACTTCACGCTGTTGCATTGTTTATCGATATGTTTGTTCTGAGCTTGGACGGGAGTAGTGTTGATTATTCATCGTCAGACTACGACGATAAACAGTAGTGAAGATGTGAAGTGCTCACAGTTTGTTGGGTGCACGGAATGGCTTAGTAGTCTTACATCAGTGGTGGAAAAAAATGTGAAAGTCTGATAAAAGAGACTATGCAAAATCATCAAATAAAGTTTCAATTTTTTGGGGCAACCAACATGGTTTCAGTACAGGAAAATCTTGTTTTACTAATCTTTTGAAATTCTTTGAAGAGATTATATTGCTTATGTCGATGAAGATAAGGATGTAGATTTGGAGTTTATGGATTTGCAGAAATTATTTGGCAAAATGCCACATAAAAGGCTTGTTAAAAATTATCTCTGTAGGTGTGGGAATTAGGTTGGCTCATTGGATAGAAAAGTAATCAAAAGGAAGATGGCAAGAGAATTTTATAAATGGAGTCCAGTCAAACTGGATTAATGACATAAATAGGGTACCTCAGGGCTCAGTGTTAGTACTTTTTCTGTTTTAGATTTATGTCAATGGCTTGGACAAAAGAGTGGCCAATATAAATTATTTAAATTTTCTGATGATATTAAGGTCTTGGGTGTTGCTGACTGTGAGGAGGATGCTACTGCTTTACAAAAGGATTTGGATTACTTGATGCGTTGGGCTAATAAATGGCAGATGGCTTTTAATTACAATAAATGCAAAGTATGGGGGGGTCTCACAATTTGATTTGGAAACATAATTTTGAGGGGAATAATCATAACACTGTTATGGAAAAAGAAGGATCTTGGTGTTTTGGTTGATCAATGTCTTAAGCCATCTAAGCTATGGTAGGGCAAATATGACTTTAGGCTGTATTTATAGAAATAATGAATATAGACATAAAGATATTCTAACTTCATTATATAGGTCACTTGTTAGACAAACTTGGAGTATTGTGTTCACTCTCGGGCTCCTTACCTTAAAAAAGACAATGAATTGTTTGAAAAGGTTCAGAATAGGGGTACTAAAATGATATCTGGGACAGGAGGAAAGGTTTGGATTTCTGAAATTGTTTTCTTTTGAAAAGAGAAGAGTTAGAGAGGATCTGATTGAAGTGTTTAAGATTGTTAAGTAAATTGATAATGTTGATGCATCATTTTTATTTTCATACTTAACAGTGGGAATATTAGGACTAGTAACAAAAATATATATTTTGGCAGGATAGGAGGCATCTTCAGCTAAAATAGTTTAATTTTTCTAACACGGTGGTTGACGTTTGGAATGGGTTGCTTTTGGGTGTTGTGGAGCAGCAAATTTAAGTGAGTTTAAAGAAAGGCTTGGTAAATATTTTGGAGATAAGGACTTGCTTTGATGGTTCTTTTTTAGAGGATAGGACGAACTAGTTTGACCAATAGGTCCTTTGTTATCTTTAAATGTTATGTGAGATAAATCACATATCCTTTAAAGCAGCGTATAAAAGAGCACATGAAGCCTAGTTTTTCATTATTTTCCAAATAAAATATCTACAAACATTTACATCAGGAATGTAACAAAACAGCTGAGGAAAATACTTTACCATAATCTATACTTGTAACAACGAACAAGATGTCAGAACAAAAGGTACTACAACTATCGTTAGTTAAATGTAACGTTTATAACGTTTAAGTTTCATTAGCTAATTACTACTACTATAGCATCAAAGTTTGTTAAAAGTAACGTTTAATTAAGTGCTTAAATAGGTTTCATTAGCTACTTACTACAGCTATAGACTCAATAGTTAGTTAAACGAAACTTTATATAATGTACGGGTTTCATTCATTTCATTCACTGCTTACTACAGCTATAGTCTCTATAGTGAGTTAAAAGTAAAATTTTCTCACGTGATTGTATAGGTTTAATTAGCTACTTACTACACCTATAGCCCCAATAGTAATGTTACAACAGCGGTAGTCACGTGACGCTGGTAACACGTCACGATATTCTAGAAGGATCGGGGAACATCACAAATAATCCAGTATGTGCTAGGCGCCCTCTATTCCTGTATATAAGTGTGCCGGATAACGTGAGACAAATTAATCGGAATTGAATTGCAGACAGGCAGAGATAAAGACGGACAATTGAGTCAAGCGTGGTAGTGACCGTAAGTAAGTGCGTGAATCATTGTGAATTATAGCATGTGTTGAAAGTGACTGTGGAAATTAAGTGTATTACAAAGCTGAATTGAGAAAGAATAAACTAGTTTTATTTAAGAAAGGCCTTGTATCTCTAAAGTTCCTCTGGAAGAATTTATACCGGGAAATTAACAAACGAACACAGAGGCGTAACAGTAAGTTAAAAGTGAAGTTTTATCACGTATGGGTTACATTAGCTACTTACTACAGCTATAGCCTCAATAGTTAGTTAAAAGTGAGGTTTTGTCATTTATGGGATTCATTAACTACTTACTACAGCTATATCCTCAATAGTTAGATAACAGTAACGTTTTATTAAGTGTTTATATAGGCCTCACTGGCTACTTACTACAGCTATAGCCTCAAAAGTGAACATCACGGTTCCGAAAAATAGCGGGAATCTGGTTATGGAGACGGATAGAGGCCTAACACGTATACCAGGCATCTCTTGAAACAGGTTCACGAAGACGATGCACGTGCCCAGCATTAAAGCTATGTTTGCAAAAGTAGCAATTACTCCTAGGTGATTCAAAGTTCGAAAATAAGTGAAGAGTACGACCACAGGCAAGACAGCACTAAGGAATTTCAAAAACACTTGTGGTTCAGGGTCAGCGTGTCCAATCACCAACTGAAAACAAATGCTTTTAATGTCACGAATACATTGATCAACTCCACAAGTAATTAGAGAATAAACGTTTGAACATGTATTTCAATACGGAATATAAGAATGTTATGAAAACAAACATTTCTACCAGAAATAATGACAACAGTAATTAGAAATATAATCATCTCGTTAGATTTTATATGTTCACTATACCCACCCACAATAAACCAACTGATAAAAGAATAATTTTATGGCCCAATTACCATAGGTACTGTTATGTCTCCGTTTGTTAATTGATTTTCCGTAAATTCGTTCCGACGAAACTTTAGCGACACAAGACCTTTCTTATTTAAAACTGGTTTATTCTTTCCGAATACAACTTTACAATACACTCAACTTCAACAGTCGCGCTATAACAAACTATAATTCACGTCTCACGAGCTCGACTTCAACAATACGTCTCTCTCTGACTGCAGTTCAATTACTCATTACCTACACACATTATTATTCCGTCACGTTGTGACCGTCTTATACATATACAAGACTAACACTATATCTAGTAATCTCCCGACAATTCACGAAGGTTCGAGAGAACGAGTGGCGTGACACTAGTCACGTGACCTCGCTGACGCAACAGTACTTTATGACTTATAGGGTAACCTGTGATCGGACTTTCAAATGGATTGTGACTACACTTTCAGTTGGATTACTTTGACCCATACGGTAACCTGTCTCTGAGCTTTCAACTGAGACATTTGAGCCGAAATATTGAACCTATAAGTCGTGACCAGGTTTCCAACAAATTCTTTTAATATTATTGGATAACCCGTGTCCGAGCCTTCAACTGGGTTATTTTGAAGTGAGAGATTACTATAATTCAATCGGTTTGAAACGGATGATTTACTTCTAAGTAAATAAAATCGTAACTAATCCTACTTCCCTTCTCACATGTATATGACGTAACTTAATAAGAACATATAAATGTTCTCCTAAAGAACTCGCCAACAAGTGACAGAACTAAACATTATCCATAATGGACTAACTGACACGAGTTCAAACCTTTATTTACTAATAACTTATGTGTGGTGTATTAGAACGTTAAAATATTTATTTACACTTTTCCCAATAACAACGTATTGTTACGGCAGCGGAAGTCACGTGACACTGGTAACACGTGATGAGTTTTTAGAAGGATCATGAAGGCCCGAGTGCATTCGAGACGCCCTCTTTTTTAATATATAAGCCTGGCGAGTAAAACCAGCACAAGAGGCAGATAAATAGAAGAGATATAGATTGATTGAACATAGAGATAATTGAGTCAAGCGAACAGTGGGCACGTAAGTAAACTGTGTGAATCACTGTGATTTATAGCGTGTGTTATAAAAGTTGTTAAGTTTAATGTGACTGTGGAAATTCTGTATGTTACAAAGTTGTATCGAGAAAGAATAAACTAGTTTTAATTAAGAAAAGATTTGTATCGCTGAAGTTCCTCGGAAAGAATTTATACCGGAAATTAACAAACGACCAGATACGTAACACTATTATATTATATTTAAAAAGCGGATGTCATAAGTTAGAAGAGTACACTTGCGTAATTATCATTAAACCGCAAGATTTCAAAAGCCAAAGTAACTGGAAAAATATGGCAATTGAAAGTCAACTTCATTTAAACCTTATATCTATGGTGCCCCCAGTGGCACAGCAGAATGTCTGTGGACTTACAACACTAGAAACCGGGTTTCGATACCCGTGGTGGGCATTGTGTAGTTTTGTGCTTAACTTCAAACAAACAAACATCTACAGCAAAGAAATTTCAATACTAAAACGCAATTAATATTGTTACGTCTCCGTTTGTTAATTGATTTTTCCGTAACTTCGTTCCGACGAAATTTTAACGACACAAGTCTTTACTTTCTACAAGCATTGGGCTTCCATGGGGATGTTCTTTTATCCTTCCCCAAATTATCTTCTCTGACATAGGGGGTATTGTAGTTGATTTAAGTGCTGTGACATGCAGATCAACGGATGTAGCAACACTTACTGGAGTCTGGACTTTGTTGTTTCCAATCGTCATTTTATCGAAATTACCTACACACTTCCTCGGTAGTAGATAGTCCAATCCTAATATGCATTGGTCTTCAATGTCAGCCAAGTATACTTTCTGTCTATTTTTCATGCCCATCAGCTCGATAGTTACCCACACTGGTCCCCACAACCTTGCAGAATGTCCTGTCACACCACAGAGCTTCTGTACAGCTTCTGGTACGGATTTGTTATCCAGCACCTTGAGGCTCACAAGGGTCTGTCTGCTGAGATGCAGAATCTATGACAAAGTTGCACCTTTGGCCATCCAGCTTCCCTGTCACGTAGATACTATGTGTGCTTGCCATATTACACTTAGCTGTTGGGACTTTCACGATGGAGGTTGGTGGGCGTCCCTTAGCACCAACCAGTACTGGTTTCCCGAAGCTGACTTATTGGTGGTATTTTTCTTACAATGGCTCCTCAGATGTCTTTGCTCCCCACAGTTCCAACAGCCTTTCTTGGTAGCAGCCTTTACTGCTGTATCGTCTTCCCTGTGTTGAAGTTGCCAGCAGTTGAGCTATCTTGTGCCCAGGTTTGTTACAGTGTTAATTAACTTTCTGTAACTTCGTTCCGACGAAACTTTAGCGACACAAGTTCTTTACTTAATAAAACTGGTTTATT